ACTTTATCTTATACTATTATCATATGCTTTGCTCTTAAGGTGGATTTACAATATTACAATAGGCTTAATGTTACGTTGATGCTGAAATAAGATTTGGTTCTATTCTAACAGAAAGCATGCATCAAAAGGTCAAATTGCCCACAGTTTTGATTAAAAATTGACGATACACAGGTCTATCATATTATTATAAACCCACCTTTATGCTCACAGTATATGTATATAATTATGTACATGTGCAAACTAATACTAATGAGCAAGAATACATAATATTAGGTACTCTTGTAATAAGTCATAGCACAGTACAGTGAAGTATTATTGTGTGATTATCTGAGTTAAGGATTATAATTTCTTGGTATCAGATTTCAATGTGCATTCTATCACTAATAATTCATTTATTTAGCAATATGTGTACATATAAATGGTTGTGTTATAATTATAATGATATATTAAGGTTTTGCCTAGAAAAAATTAGAGGTGGTCAGAGACTAATATTGTTCCTTTTACACCATACTAGTAGACTACAATATCATGCTGGTTGGCTCATTTGTTGAGGTGGTTGTCCCGACCACCCCCAACCACCATAGGCAGAACTATGTATATGGCATTCTTTACAATTCTAAATAACATTCAATTCCACCTTTAATTAAAAGGGATTGTATAGTATTTGGGGACATAAATACGTACACACATGTATAAATGGACTTATACTGTACAAGAATATTTTATATATTTTTATTATATTTTGTTTACTTTTAATAGGACAATTCCTACCTCTACATGCTGCTTGAGTTTGTCTCCGGAGGAGAAATGTTCTCTCACTTGAGGAGAATAGGCCGTTTTAGGTATGCTTCTAAATATTATTATTAATTATATATTAATCTAATACATTATATGATGTGTGTGCCAACAGTCACTTGGAAAAAATTATTTGTTTTTTTACATTTTGAAATGCATATGCATGTACTTATGTTGTATAGAAAATTTGAGTGGATTCAGATCAAAATTGGATTTTTTATGATTTTTTAAAGTTGCTTTAAAAGCTGTATGCTATTATAAGGCTTGTCAGCTCGCAATGCATGCTTTTTTAGTTCACTTATACTTTACCTTCATAAGCAAAACTGACCTGCAAGTAGTTCAATGAATTTACCATTGACCCACAAATACAATGTTTTTTGGCCCAATTTCTTACTACTAAAGATATTCAAACTAGCTTTTTTGCAAAAATACACTCATTTTGCTTTGAGCCAAATTGGAGCAGAATCAAATTCCTTATTCAATACATTCAGTACACACGATACTACATGTGTATACATATACATTGTACATATAATATGTACATGTACATGTACATATGTATATATGTGTGTGTTGTTTATGTATCTACGTACAGTATGTCTTTGCATGTGGGACAGTTATTTTAGTGTGTTTGTATAATTTTTGTGTTAGCATTATTGATTTGAGTGAGTAAGAGTCAATTAGCCTGAACCTATAGTTTTGTCGATAATTTATTATTATTATTATTTTTATTTTTATTGTCCATTTTGTCTTTTCTAGCGAGTCTCATTCAAGGTTCTATGCTTCACAGATCGTGTTAGCTTTTGAGTACCTCCACTACTTAGACATTGTCTATAGGTAAGGCATAAGGACATACCATATAACATATTTTAACATAATTATTATTATAACTTTATTATAACATATTTACCATATAATATATTTTGTGCTAAATTAATTTTTGTACTGGCTAAAATCTACTAAAATGAATTCTACTAAGTTTTATTAACATCAAATAAAATTAAAAATTTTGTAAATTAATTCCAATCTTTAAACAATAAAAATTTCAAGTAATTATAAATTGTATCTTATATTCATTTATTTGATTGTATGTGCATGTACTACATTATATTGCATTGTCACTCTAGCAGTACAAGTAGTGAGCTCTTTCTTTATGTCCTTCCGTTTTATTTTGTAGAGATCTGAAGCCTGAGAATCTTCTCATTGATCAGCATGGCTACGTTAAAGTTAGCACAATTAAAATTATTATTATTATTATTATTATTATTGTGAAATGCATGCATGCGTATTAAATAACAAATAAAATATATTTTTTAATTTAATTTTTTAATTTTTAAAGGTAACTGACTTTGGTTTTGCAAAGCGTGTTAAAGGCAGGACTTGGACCCTTTGTGGTACTCCTGAGTATTTGGCTCCTGAAATCATCCTCTCCAAGGTATACTATACACACATTCATTATATATGAATATGCATTATATTATATTGTGCCACTAAGAAATGACTAACTAACAATGCATGATAGTTTAATGATGATAGTAATATCATACTAATGGACTTTGACTATTATACGTGTACATGTACTTACATTTTTGTAAAACTTTTGAGCTGATTCTAATCAAACTTAATTTTTTAAGTTGGTCATTGGCCAGATTTCATCATAATTAAAAAGGAGAGATTTTTTCATTTTTATAATTTTTCCCAATAAGTATAAATGTTTTTATGTTGCTTAGAAAGTTTGAGCTAATTCCGATCAAAATTGGATTTTTTACGAATTTTTAAAGTTGTTCCAAAATTGGACCAAAGTCCCTGTACTATTAGTAACGCGGTAGCGTTACTAAGTAGGATTCACCCCACTTCAAAATGGCTGCCACGACTTTTGCAGCCTTGCTATACCAGGAAAACGAGCTCCTATGCTTACCAGACTTTATAGAGGACCTCATCTTGACCAGAGGACTCCATTGGTACCACTAGTGTGGCTCT